TTCTTCAAGTTCTTTTATATTGTTGATTGTTGGAATTGCTCCAATATTTTCGCTTATTACTCTTCTGAAATTAGGCCAGTTTGTTTTCTTCCACAGATTGGTACAGGGGTAGGGTAGAACAACCCTAGTTAACTGCACTATTTGCGCAATTAACTTTTTGTTTTGTTGCCTTAGTTCGGTGAGCTGTTCAAGAAGAGCCTCAATTTGCTTATTGTGACTCTTTTGCATCTCATTCATTTTCTGGATGAGAATTTGTAGGGTTGTTTCTTCCTCCTCTTCTCTGTACTTTTTCTAATCTGTCTCAGGGCTTTGCCCTGGACTGGAGCATGGCCTTTTCCTCACGTCCTCGCTGCGGCGAGAAGTGTAGACATTGTTAGTATCAAATAGTTGACGCTTGGTACGGAAATCCGCGTTCGATCTATTATCTAGATTCGATACGACTGACTGAAGGTCAGACGCATCGTTGCGTCTGATAACGGGGGTCCATCAATAAGGGTATCCATCTCCGAGATGGTCGGAGATGCAGGGATAGATGGGATAGAATCCGGTGCTGTATCATGAGATAAATACTCCGATTCAGGGTTTGGGTTGGGTTGTGGGGAGTTCACGACTTGAGCGGAATGCTCAGTGGTCTCATAGGAGACCGACGACATTTGAAATCTGTCTACTTCGACGACTGCTGTTTTTTGTTTGTCCACCCGACACGTGTCGAGTGGATTCTGGGTGCCTTCCCAGGCCCTGGCGCGGTTATTCACTCCTGTCTTCAGGAGGGTGCCTCTTAATGTTTCTCACTCTGTAGGCGTAGGGGCCGTTGCTGTCCGACCTAGATTCAGAACTGGGCCTTACAGTGTCAACCCTGTCGACACCATACAGAGATCCCGTTTCTTCGCAAATGCTATTTATTATAGCCCTCTGAGAGAGGCCTATAAATACTACCTATCTGCGGTTTAAACTAATCGCATTCACTCTTCAATTTGAATTATCTCAAGCGCCCAAGCCACTTGCGGTGTCTTACTCACTGCTAGGAGCTGATAAGCTCCGTTGACTTAGGTCGGTTGCGACTCTCCAAAAACGCGTCTGCACTGTTCGGCTACTCGAACCGAACTGACTTGACGTATTAAAACTTATATTACGGTTTTATATAGTCAGTTTTCCAGTCTTCTAGAACAGGGTGCTTAGTAATACACAAGTTGAATATGTAAGCTATTCTGTAGAATAATGTTTTGATTCCATTTTTCAGAAGTTCAACGCTTCTACAGATCCATTTTTCAGGTTTTCGTATGGCTTTTTTAGCCAAATATCCGGTGATTTTACTGTTCTTGCCTTGTACATGTATAGCCTCCGTAAATAATTTATTTAGATATTCTTACGAATCAACAAATGTGAACAAAAAGCAAGTTACATTATCCCAAACAATTTTGACGTATCTTAATTTTAACAAAGACCCACTAAAAACATATCCTTGAATCCTATCAACTAAATTACCATTTTTATTGCCCTTTTATAAGAGAATTACAGCACATATTCGCATCTACTCAAAGAAGTTGGGCGAATTTTTAAACGGAAAATATTATTCCACTTAAAAAATTTAATATGCAGCTATTTAAGCAGTTAGCTCGATATTATGATATATTATTGAATAAATTTTTTTACTAACTACGTTCAATTACACGTTGTTACATTGTTCTTGCCAAAATTATAATAAATTTGCTAATTTTCCTATTTGCCTCTTCGCCGTTAATGGTATAGTGGTGCAATTTTCCCATTTTAACATTTATGTAATACTTTAATAGTATAGTTGACCTTCGACCTTGCTTTGTAGTGTATAATAACCATTTTTCATAATTTTACAGGAATTTTTGATAAAAAAGATTTAAATTTAGAGAATTACTCCAGAAAATTATACAAAATGATAGGAAATGGATAAATATGGTAAATATAAGAATAAGCACATAGTAAGTAGATAATGGGTGTCAAATTATCAGTCAAAAAATTTATTACTTATATTTTCACTCGACGTAATCTTCCAAAAATCAGTAGAGTTCGTTTAAACAACTTATATTTTTCATTAAAAAGTCTCTACCACTATCTCTTTAATCTTTTAGTTCTTGCTAATTGACAAGGGCGTTGATTAGTTAATTGTCGTGATTTAAGTTTTTATTTCTGTATTAAGTTGCATATTGCATTTCTACCATACACAAAAAGAGGACAAGAAAAGAGATAAATGAACTAATAAAACCGAAACTCATTTAGAAAGAAAATTTGGGCAGACTACTTTCGATCCCTATTTGCTAAAGGTGACGATAACGAACCACCATACCAGAAATGACGACAAACGAGGAAATAAACATTAAGGAGGAAGATGTAAAGGAAGCATTAAGGAATAAGTTGAAAATCACTAGGAGAGGACTGAATATTTAATGAACTCCTAAAGTACGGAGGGCCAGATCTAACCAAACAACTATCAAAGCTTATGCAAAAAAAAATAATTTAACAAAACAGGATACCAGAAGAATGGAGACAAAGCATCGCAATACCTCTCTTCAAAAAGGGAGACAAATCGGACCCGAAGAATTACAGAGAATTTAATTCTATAAACATAACTAACATATTAATAAAAAGTAATAACAAATAAACTAAATGAAATTATAGCACTAGTAGTATGTACTGACGGTATATTTATAATGGGGCCAGTGCAAGAGAAATCATTAGAATGCGACAAACCGGAATATTTATATTTCACGGACATTAAGAAGGCATTTCACAAGGTCAAATTAAGGGACGTTATCCACTTATGGTACGCAATAACTCTATGCGTATTATTCAAACTGATCATGAATAAAATAATAAAAAAAGTATCAATAGTATCAAAATCAACTCGATCAACATAACCTGCTATGCACAGACGACACAATACTAATATCTTAAATTGAAGATGATGCGTATGACAACGTATGCTGCACCGATTTAATATAACGGCCATAAAATTTAACATGTTAATTTCTCCAAAAAAGACAAAATGTGTGGTTATAACAAGAAATCTACTAAGATGTAAATAAGAGCTGAACGATTAAATAATAGAACAAGTGATGGAGTTAAAATATCTTGGCATCACACTATCTAGCTAAGGAAAGCTCGAAACAGAAGTGGAAGATCAAGTGAATAGAGTTGCAGATTGCCTGAATGAAACAATATGGAGAAATAAAAATATTGGAATAGAAATGAAAGGCAGAATTTACAAAACAGTCATCAGACCAATAATATCATAGGTATGATGCAGAAACTTGATCTGACACAGAGAGAACAAAAATAATACTAGAAACAGCAGAGATGAAAAGTCTCGTTCGATGGTAAAACCATGGGACAGAGCTGGAAGTACATATATACGACACAGATGCAAGGTGAAAAACATCAAGGCCTGGAAAAGAAACAGAAGAGTAGAATGGGACCATCATATAAGCTGAATGACAAAAAAATAGAATAGTAAAGGTGGCGAGAGACGGTTCCAAAATAAGAAGAAGATCAGTACGAAGACCACAAAACCGATGGAACGACAACTTACTGGAGGCACATTAAAAAACAGACAGAGACGTGTCTACACAAATGAAGAAGAAGAAGTTGCATATACCTGTAAAGTGTAATTTATTACCAGTTCTTCTTCTTCGTGTGCCATATCAGAATTATCCGACGTTTTGCCGATGAGGTAATAAAGGCTTCATACGAGCAACATATACTCGAAAAGGATTTGGTACGAACAGACATAGAAATGCATAGAAAAAGTGGTGAAAATATGCATGTAGCTGTTTATGACTTAAAAGCAATCCTTGCATGCCCACAGAGCGATGCGTCAGGATTTTGTTACGTGTCAAAGCTCTCTGTGTACAACTTTACAGTATATGACTAAAAAAAATGATGAAGTAAGCTGCTTCGTGTGGCATTAAAGGGAAGGCCAACGTGGAGTAAATAAAATTGGGACGTGCTTTTACAATTATCTACAAAGTTAAATGCAAAAGATCAACACCTTGATGTAATATTTTACAAAGACAACTGTTGTGTGCAACACAGAAACTATCCAAAGTTAAACGTATATAAATATAGGGTGGATACTTTATCGTATTTAAAGTCTAAAACCCGTAAATTTGTTATAAAGGGCTATACGCAAAATATAGAAGTTAGCCTATTCACTCATTGAAAAAAAAGTAAAGCTGTTTCGGAAAGAATCACCAATTTTTCATCCTGATCAGTACTTTTCACACATAAGAGGAATAAAAATAGAAAAGAAAAATTTTCGAAATGAGTTATAAGGACTTTTTGAACTTAAACTCATTGCCTGATGTGATTCCACAAGGAATTATCAAAATTCGAGACTTGCGCATTATTCATTTAATAACTGAAAAAATAGAATATACAGAATCATTTGAATCCAAGTATTTCTCCATACTAATAAAACGAAAAAGCAAAGTCAAAGTGATATTACCAGTAATATATTCCGAAAAACAAAAATAAATGAAAAAAAGGAGACTGGGATTATGTCTTAATTGGGAAAAAATATCATTCGATCTTACTATTGACTCTTTTATGAGGTATTGTAGCTAATATTTCAATAAAATAACATTTTCAAATTTGTCATAGTGTCTTATTTCTACAAAACCTTCCCATTTGTTTTAGATGAAAAGTGACACTTTTGACCACAAATAGAAGAATTTTGGGTAATTTACCATCAATATAAGTCCAGGTTGTAAAGACCATTCAAGGTTCTACAGTAAATTGGTATTGTTTGGAGCTACAAGTTGAAATTAAAAAACCGACGTGACATTAAAATAGAAATATCTCAGAAGTAGTTTTTTTGAAATGTAATACTTTTCTCGTGCATAAGCGATATGTTTTTTTATATACTTTGTCAGAAATTTTTGTACTGGCGATACATATATTTTATGTGGATATATTTTTTACTATCATATTACATATTTTAGGTAAATTTGAGAGATTCATAAACTTACTAGACTACTCCAATAAGAAAACACCAAATCTCCTGGAAAGAGGTATATATCAACCAGCAGCCACACGCCTCTCCACACAAACACTACCAAAGTCCCAACTACAGCTATAGAGAAGAGACAGTCTAACACAAACAAAGATTTTCTTTCTTCCATCTGAAACAAAAAAAAAAGTATATTAAATATGTACATATTTTAAAGCGATAAAAACATAATGCCATATAAGTATTCAGTTATTTATTTTACATGTTTTAGTTCCTGTGTAATTTGTTTTATTTTAAATTTTCTATATTAATTCCTCTAGAGAAGAGACGAACAATGTTTGCCATTAATTAATAGTATCTTCTTTGTACCTTGTCCAGTCTCTCTCATATTAGCATTCATTTTGGCTAGTTTTTCTCAACCCTAAGGTCTTTATACGGTTGGTCGACATTGGTTTTTAGTCACGATGCTTATTTGCTACTAACTCCACTTTATCCTTTTGTCTTACCCTTTAATATTAGTTGTGACCCTTCTTAGGTTGTGTATTAGTTCTTACCCTGATAATGGAAATAACTGAGTAAGCATTTTGTAGAGACATTGATAAGGACGTGTATTTGTGCTTTGTGGATTTTAGAAAAGCATTTGACAATGTCAATCATGAACAATTGATATATATTCTGCGAAAGACAGGTATTGATGACAAGGACATTCAAATTGTGGCAAACCTATACTGGGGTCAAAAAGCAAGAGCAAAAATTGGCAACAAACTCACTGGAAGTGTGCAGATCAAAAGTCGTGTCCGTCAAGGATACGATTCCTATTCAATATTTATTCCCAGGAAATATTTAAAAAGGCTATGGAAAATGCAAAATGAGGGCATAAAAATAAACGGCGAGTTAACGAACAAAGTAAGATATGCCGACGACACGGTGATCCTTGCCAGTACCATAGACGAATTACAACAGGTAATGGAAAGGGTTTATTCAGTTAGTGAGTAATACGGCCTAAGCCTCAACTTCAAGAAGACGAAGTGGATGCTGATAAGCAAAAAGCAACAACCTGCTCGACAATTACGGATAAGTAACATACTAATTTACCATGTAGAATCTTATGTGCACCTAGGCATTAACGTAAATGCAAAATGGGAACAGGTCACAGAAACTAAGGCGAGAATAGAACGAGCTAAATCAGCATTTAACAATATGAAAAAGCTCCTCATAAGCAAGGATTTGTCTCTTCCCTTAAAACTACGTCTAGCTAAATGCTACATCTTTCCGATCTTACTATATGGTATGAAGGCCTGGACGCTGACGCTCACGGGAAAACTAGAAGCATTCGAAATGTGGGTGTACCGACGCATTCTTCGTATATCCTGGACCGAACATATCACCAACATAGAGGTAATCCAAAGAATCAGAAAGGAGAAAGAAATCGTAAGCACAATAAAACAAATAAAGCTTGAATATCTAGGCCACATATTGAGACACGATAAGTACCGTCAACTGCGATTAATGGTCCAGGGAAAAATAGACAGTAAGCGAGGGCCAGGCAGGAGAAGACACTCGTGGCTCCAAAATCTGCGGAAGTGCTTCGGGCTCATATATATATATATAATATATATATATATATATATATATATATATATATATATATATATATATATATATATATATATATATATATATATATATATATATATATCGTCGTCGACACAAGAAAACCGGTTAACTCCAATTTTTACTTAAAATGAGATTTCACTGCCAACTTTTAGCAAATCGCCTATTCTAGCCATCCGACAAATAATCCATCCAATGGCACTACAGCCCAAGCCGGGCCTTGGCCTCCTTCATTAGACCTCTCCAAACATCTCTATTTACTGCTGTTCTTTTCCATGAACGTGTTTTTAGGAGATTTTTGGCATCCTCATCTACCTCGTCTTCCCATCTCTTTTTTGGTCTTCCAACAGGTCTTTTTCCTTGCATTCTTGCGTTTAGTAATTTTCTGGGGATTCTGTTCTCATGCATGCGGGCCACATGCCCTGCCCATCGTAATCTCTGCAGTCTAGTGTATTGTGCTAGTGTTGGTTCAGTGTATTGTTCGTATATTTCGTCATTATATCTAATTCGCCAGTTGTTATTTTCCTTTATTGGACCCAGTATTCTACGCAATATTTTTCTTTCGAACACGTCTAATGCATTGGTAGATTTCTGTGTTATAACCCATGTTTCACACCCATAACTTACTATGGGTCGGATTATTGTTTTACATACCCGGAGTTTTGTTTTCCGGTATACGTCTCGCGATTTGAATATGTGGCCCATCGCGAAATAGGCTTTGTTTGCCAGCATCCGACAAATAATACGTTATTTAAATGTAGATTTCTAATTTTTAAATGTTTACTAGAAAAGCAGGTATCTCCCTTGTCAAAAAATTATGTTTGTAAAACACGTAACTCCGCGCATTTTCTGTTAAGTCTGTTAAGTGATTATGGTCGTTGATTTGATTTGTTGTTTTGGAGGGATTTGTTGTTTTGGAACATGCTTTTAATAAGTTCTAGACATACACATGGACAGAAAAGAGAATGTATATCAAAACGTTGGTAGTATTTGAAGCACCAAAACGGAAGAGGGATAGAAAAAATGAAGATGTATCACGGAGGTCTAAGACATTAAAATATTATTTGAAGATTGGAGAAGATAAACGAATGGTATGCAAAAAAATGTTTTTGTCAACTCTGGGCCTTAAACATTGGTTTGTTATGAATTGCAAACAAGAAGATAATTTTGCTATTACAGAAAATTTGGATAATGAACCACAACAAGCGCCAAAGGACTTCACAAGAAGGAGTTGGACAATCGTTATAGTTTTTTAGATAGCCTGCCGAAAATGGAATCGCATTATTGCAGGAAATAAACTAGTAAATTATATCTAGAACTATTATGGCAAAGCAAATGTCAACTTTACCATATTTACAAAAAGAAATGGTACCTATATAGAAAAACGAATCAATATTCTCTCTTTGTCTTCTTTTAAAAACGCTTTCCTGGAAAAGAGGTTGGCTTTGTATAGACCAAAAAAAATTTTTGTGTGAAATATGTGTCTTTTTTAAAACAGGAAATCTTGATCAAGAAATATTTAGTGAACATTAGTTGAAAAATCAAGAAGAGAGACTTGAGAAAATTTAAGATAAAAACAGTGAAGGCATTGTATTGACAATAGATTTACAGGCAGTCCTTATATGTCCTAAGTCCAATGTTTCTTCCCTAAGTTGACATATAAATGATAAAAAAGTTGACAATCTACAATTTCACATTCTATAACGTACACACAAAACAAGGGCATTGTTTTCTTTGGGATAAGTCGGAGGGGAATCTTACCAGTGCTAGTGTGATCGTATGTATTTTAGAAAAAAATACTGAAGGGAGTTGTCTTGAGAAAAACGTACGTGAAATAATTATAGCGATGGGTGTACTTACCAAAATCGTAATGTTATTCTAGCTAATGCAATTTAGGAAGGGCACACCCAGATGGAGGCCGACATGATGCACAGTACAATTGAGAGACAATTAAGAGGATGCGATATTAATGTGCCTGGTGATTACATACAAATATGCAAAAGAGCGTGGAAGGAAAATATATTTGTAGTAACTCGACTATACCATGATTTTCTTAAGGACTTCAGAGCAGTAAACTATGTAAGCAGTATCCGACCGGGTAAAAAAGGGTGTTGCAGTTGTGACGAATATTAGAGCTACAAAATATTCACCACAAGGTATTCATTACAAGTTGGGATTTGGTGAAAATTGGATTGAACTGCGTTGTCGAATAAAACAGAATGTGATACCCAAGAATTTCGCAGATCTGCCAAAGCTATATACAAAGAGAATACCATTAAAAAAAGACAGATTCGAACATTTTCAGTATTTAAAAAATACGCATGATTTCGATTACCACTCATTTTATGTCAATCTCTCTCACTAACTTTGTTTTTTTTTAAGTCCTATCGTTGTTGTACTACACTTGTTTTTGTACATATTTATGCGATTTTATTTTAGATTTATTTTAGATTAAAATTGTATTTATTGTTAAAAAGTGAGGCTATTTATTTCTAACGTAGGTAATAAAATAACACTAAATTTTATGTTAAACGTTTTTCAAAAGTATTGGTCTGTATTTCATTATTACGATATTTTTATGTGTTTCAGATATGTTTTTATAAATCAATAACTAATGCTTTTTGTTAATTTTTTCCAATCCAGCGTTAAAAAAATGCCACGTAACTCCATAGGCACGTCTCATTCCAAAAGAAGAAAAACCTGTAACTCCATATTTTCTGTATTTTTAGCTATATCTGCTAGATTTTGAAATTAAAATTGATATAATTCAGCTTAATATGACCTAAAAACTCAAAATATAGTTGTTTAATCGTCCTTCTTTATCAAATAAAAGATATCAGTGAAAATGTTACTGTTTTTAGGCTCTCCTGAAAAATTAAGGAAAATGGAGTTACGAGTTTTTCTTGTGTTGACGACGATATATATATATATATATATATATATATATATATATATATATATCAGAATTGCCATACTAATAGTTAACGTTCGCAATGGACAGGGCACTTGAAAAAGAAGAAGAAGACCATTTTGAAATGGATCGTATTAACACAATAATAAAGATACATGAACGTAGATATATATGCATATTTTACAGATTATCGACAAGCATTTGACCATCGAAATCGAGCACATAACCCCAAAAGATATATGAATCTGACGGTAAGTGCGACAGACTTACGTCTCATTATCGCTCATATTTAATCTGTACTCGGAGTCTATATTCAAAGAAGCATTAGATGACATCCAAGATGAAATCAAGATAAATAGAACTAGCTTAGACAACTTCAGATACGTTATCTTAAATTATATATTTTTTATTATATATTACATACAAAAACATATATTAATTATATGTTTTTACAAATTTTCTTAAAAATTAAACATCAGAATGATATTTTTAGACGAATTTAATAATTACTTCAGTTTCTACAAGTGGCACCTTTTGTTGTACAATGCACTGTGTAAAAATGTTTAATTGTCTTGAGTTTCTCCCGTTTAGATTGTTTCAGACGCTATACTATATAGGGTTTTTCACGCAACTCAATTAGAACTCTT